GGACAAAATGAACGAAGGCTTTTAAAAATTTTAAACAACTGTGAAATTGTTTCTAGTGTGGCTACCGTTGAAGAAGAGAAAATTGAGGACGAAGAAGGTGCAGTTCTTAACGAAAAACCTACAGCTAGCCACTCAGAAGCAGAAATAATGTTTTCAAAGTGCATCGACTAGTTTGAAAGGCCAGAGAAGGCAAATCCAATACAGAGTCTACTACTGAGTAAGATACGGGACATCGCTGATTCCTTACATCGCTGATACGGGACATCGCTGATACGGGCCATTGCTGATAACGGGACATCGCTGATACGGGACATCGCTGATACGGGACATTGCTGATAACGGGACATCGCTGATACGGGACATCGCTGATACGGGACATCGCTGATACGGGACATCGCTGATACGGGACATCGCTGCTCAGAAAGCTCGAGCCTCAGAGACACAGAAGGAGATGACAGATTATTTTAAAGTAACGTAGGTTTATAGTGTGGCAATACATTGCTGTACATAAGTACACTTATATTGAAGTTTATATTGATCGTTTATTCACATTTTAAATGATTTATTTTCACTGTATTACCTTTTAAATGATTTATTTTCACTGTATTCACCCTTTGAATGATTTATTTTCACTGTATTCACCTTTTAAATGATTTATTTTCACTGAATTCGCCTTTTAAATGATTTATTTTCACTGTATTCACCTTTTAAATGATTTATTTTCACTGTATTCACCTTTTAAATGATTTATTTTCACTGAATTCGCCTTTTAAATAAATGATTTATTCTCACTGTCGTCCAAAATTCCCCGTGAAACCAATTACATTTGTATTAGGAGATTTCTGTGATCCGTCTTTCTTCTATTCATCACAGCCCTTATCCGAACGGTGACAGTTAGTCAAAGTTTTACTGTATGTGTGAATGTCTGTGTGTGTATGTATGTATGTGTGTGTGTGTGTGTGCGTGTGCGCGCATGTGTGTATGTATGTATGTATGTATGTATGTATGTATGTGTGTATGTATGTATGTATGTATGTATGTATGTATGTATGTATGTATGTATGTATGTATGTATGTATGTATGTATGTATGTATGTATGTATGTATGTATGTATGTATGTATGTATGTATGTATGTATGTATGTATGTATGTATGTATGTATGTATGTATGTATGTGTATGTATGTGTGTGTATGTATGTATGTATGTATGTATGTATGTATGTATGTATGTATGTATGTATGTATGTATGTATGTATGTATGTATGTATGTATGTATGTATGTATGTATGTATGTATGTATGTATGTATGTATGTATGCGTGTATGTCTGTGTGTCTGTCTCTCTGTCTGTCTTATAATCAACACAGCATTGGCATTGCTTATCTAGTCTAGAATACTTCAGAATTTGGGTTATTCTAGTTGTTATCTCTTCTGCGAACTGATGACATCAGTGTCTTGTGGTGCCTGTTCGTCTAACACTGACGAGATAAGCGGCCCACCATGCGTAAGAAAAGTCTGGAGATGATTCCAGCATGAGCATCTGTCTACCACTCACTGTTGGTGGGAGTTCCTGTGATTCTTGTAATCTCCTAAAGTGAAATATTGTAGTCATCAGCTGGCTTCTATCTCCATGGTAACTGGCCTGTCCTCACTTCAGGGAAGATTCTTCTTATCTGGCATGGTAGTTGACCTGGAGAGGTATGGCTGAGAGAATTAAAATTATAGGAACTTGATGGGAAGTGACTGAGGGTTTCCTCTCACTCAGAGGGAAAAGACAAAAGATGGACATGTTTCGCCACTGCCATACTACAGTGCTTTATTTTTACTCAGTTCTGAAATTAAAAAACAAACACAATTAAATACGGGGTGTTTGTAAAATCTCACTACACATTGTTTGCAGAACAAATTTAAAAAAAAAAAAGGAAGTACATGACGTAATTAGAATATGTGCCTAAAAAGTCATTAAATTAGTGCTGTACTCACTGCTGTGATCTAAGGCTGTTTTTGGGGAAGCTGAAAAGTACTAAAAAAATATTCATTATTTATAACTGGTGTTTTAAATGTCTACCACGGATTTCAAGACATGACTGCACACGTGTAATGAGACTTTACACAAACACCCTGTATATCGTCTCCCTATACATAACTAGGGTGTTGAAACATGAGGTTTGAGGTACAGTGAGGTCCCATCCCTCCATAAAGGTAGGGGGAGGGCAAAATATGTAAGGAGACTAAGCGGCCTACAGAATTCATAACCGTGAATTAAAAGTTATATTTGTAAATTTGGGAATACATTTGATATTATTTCTGATATACTGTTTTATTTATATGCCATTCAGCATGTTATCTTTTAAATATTATTATTAGACACATACATAAGGCTTAGGCCCCTTGAGAGACCCCTTCTGCCTAAAAAATGCATTATCCTTGCCCTATCTTACTCGAACAGACTCAATGTTTTCTTCGTGTTGGTGCCTCTGCACATAACACTTATCTAACACCACCAGTGCACTGTATCTTGTTTGTTCTCGGTATCCAGCAAAAGACACAAAGACCACCGATAGTCCAGTAGATGTCAGTGATTATGAGTACGTAGGTGACTTCTAACGCTGGTATGAGCCTGACAAGTTCTTGGGCAGTGTGGGTAGACACATTAGAGGAGAAGTTTTGTCATGCTGAGCTAGCTCTGCTGCTTTACAATTGTGATATCAAGCCTCGCTGGCCACTGCACCATGATTCCACATGGGACTTCCAGCGCCCCGTAGACCAACTGCCCCCCAACAAACATGTCATAAAGGCTGCTGAAATTGAATGTATTGGGCTGAAAGGTGCAAATATCATGCCTTTTTTTTTTTGGACTGAAAGGTGTAAATGTTGCGCCTTATTTTGAGTCTGAAAGGTGCAAATGTTGTGCATTTTGGGCTGAAAGGTACAAATATTGCATCTTATTTTTGGACTGAAAGGCGCAAATATCATGCCTTATATATTAACCACAGCACCCTTTCAGGTCGAAAGCAGAAGAAGAGGAGCTGCACCATTTTGAGGAAGTACATGTCATTAAGATCGATCTTTTGCTGCGGCTACACCGAAATATTTAAATAGTCCCAACACATTCAGTACCAAGAAGCTCACCATGTAGTTGTTGGTAATTTCCTACAAGATGCAATTTTTCTCAACTCGTTGTGCATGCTCCAGTTTTTACAAAACTTATTTTTTTTTTCTTTTGCTTGAAATTGATTATCTGTATCTGCATTGTTGTCTCTAGTTTGAGAGACAAGCACCCTAGTTATTTGTCAGTCAGTAGCATGTCTTTTGCAGAATCTTGCTCTCATAACAACCCTCTAGAAAACTTTTCGATCACAAGCAAGATACACCCATATGGAGATCATCCGCCACATCCTCCACCCATCTTCTCTTTGGCCTTACTCTTCCCAAGCATATACCCCTCTATTAGTGTACTCTCAAAACTGTCATGTTTCAAGTGACCAAAATATTTAAGTTTTTTGTGTTTTATCATCTTTAATAGCCAACCTTCTTCAGTAATCAGTTCTTGAAGTATGGATGTATTTGTTATTTTTTTTTACCTATGATGTTCTTAGAACCCGCCTATAACATTTGTATTTGTATTCAAAAGAATTTATGTGCTGTTCAGCTTGTTAGTTATGTGTAGAAAGCAGATATACAGGGTGTTTGTCTAAAACCTCACTGCACTTTGCATTAAATCATTGTATATCTTTTGTTTCTTCACTTGAGAGCCAACCAGTCTATATGTGGTTGCCCTGGACGGGTTCTCCAGGGGCAACTCCTGTAGATAAGGGGACAAAGAGAACAATACAAAAAGGCAGAAATATGTCCTTGTCCCACAAAACTATCCCGGAAATTTAACCCAGTCAACAAATGCTCAATGGATTTGAATGTGTCGGCTGAAAGGCGCAAATATCGCAGCTTTGCTGTGAACGGGCACAATGCAGTTACGTCACTCAGACAAACAAAAAGAAGAAAATACCTCTCGTTTCTTTATCTTCTTCTGCTTTTGCCCTTAAAAGAGCAGTTGGCACAATGTGTTGTGGTTTACAGCTAGGTTGCAGTATCTTCACCTTTTGACCCCACACATTCGATTTTAACATGCTCTTAATTAAACTTTTACAACATATTTCAGAATGAACGCCTAAACGGAGATAACAGAGTATTCCCAGTGAGGTGTTTTTGGGGGGAAACTATTTAGACACACCATGTGTTCGTTTTAAGATAGCAACTGCTTTGCATAGAACTAATTTAAAAAAAAAGATACTGCATATTTGTAATGATATTACATGTCACCTTGATCTCTTGGTTAGTAAGACTGAATATAATGTCTTCTGATAAGAATGAAAACAGAGTATGTATCTAAGTTGTTACACTAACAGCTCTCGTAGTTGAAAACTACCAGCAAGGCTTCTACCATGGAAGATATCCCTACAGTGTATAAAAAACAGTCTGTATCCAAGTTGTCACATTATTAGCTTACAGTAGTTGAAAACTGCTCATAAGGTGGCTGTCATGATAGATATCCCTACATCATCATCATGTAGCAGGTCCTTTGCAGAACGTCACTCTCATCACAGTCTGCCTGTAAGAAACTCAGTCTCTTGCCAGTTCTCCCGCCTCATCAACTTTCACACTCAAGGAGTCACTTATATCCTGTGCCCATCTACGTGTTGGTCGGCCCCTGCCCCTCCTTCCTGGTACCGTGCCTTCTGCTATAATTGTTTCCAATCCATGTATGAAAAACAGTCTGTATCCAAATTGTCACATTAATAGCTTACAGTGGTTGAAAACTGCTCATAAGGCGGCTGTCATGATAGATATCCCTACAATGTACAGATAGGTACCTTTAAAATGAGCAGCAGCATATCCTAAAACATATAGTAAAATATCCTAAAAATATATAGAAACATAAATTAAAAATATATACAGTAACATTTCCCAATAAATTTTCATATCCTATAATGTTCACAGAATGATGACCACGATTGTGAGTTAGAGCTGGAAGACATTCTCAACTTGGACACAGACACAGAGAGGCGAGATTATGCATTAGTAAGTGAACGATTCTTTTCACTTGTTATCTGGTACTAACCCCTTTTTTGTACAGAATAGTCGACACTCTGGTGTTGTGGTACATATCATGCCAACCATATTTATTTGCAAGAACATTTATTGGGGTCAGTTAGAAGCTAGAGCAATGTATCCATTCAATTTTTCTTTACATATACCAACTACCTTGTATTGTCATAATTTACAAGTACAATGAGTACAGTAATGTTCTTTAATGTGGGAGTTGCCGTGGCGTTGGCGGCTAGACGCCCGCCTGTGGATCGGAAGGTCGTGGGTTTGCTGCCTGACTTTTTTCAAAAATGACTTTGACTTCCAGGTTGATCCAGCTTGATTGGGTACCAGGTGCAGTCCTGGAAAGTAAAGGCGGCCGGCGTGATGCTGACCACATCACCGACCAAGTGCTGATTGGTCTATAAAAGTATAGGTCTATCCCTATATGGCAAACTTCTGGACGTAAATTTGCCTAGAGAAACCACTCAACAGCCAGGGGCTGCTAGGGTTGGTTCTGCAATGTCCTGTAAAGGATAGGCAACTAACCTATCCCTATATCCCCTATATGTCTAAAGGTGTGGAAAAGGAAGCTTTACTTTTAAAGTTCTTTAGTAAGTGAAATTATGCTGTAGAAAACGAGCTTTGGTGTTAAAAAAATGTATTTGTTTCTGTGTGATTTCTTTTATCTCCCCTGTTCATCTGTGTAATAAAAGCAGTTCAGTTCTACTGTAGATCACACAGGTGTAGCAACTTTGACAGAGATTTAAAGGCATAGAAAAGAAAGCTATTATGCTAGAAATTCTCCACTACAGAGCAAAACTGAAACATTTCATGGACCTTTTGTCTGTGGTATGTTCATGATTTAGCAAGGTGTTACAACCACCTTTAACAAGTGTTGGGAAAAATCTTTAAAAAATCCAGGCAATTAACACTGGATTGTCACTATATTTAAAAACAAAGTAACAAACAAACAGGTGATCTTATCAGTGTTGTGAGTGCTAAAGGTTTAACTGTGAGAATCGACTTCATTCCACCAGGTTTGATCCTATACAGCTCAGTCTCCACAGAATGGCTAGCCACCTGCTGCCAGCACTGCACAAACATCATAGTTCAGGTGGTGATCCCCAGGGGTCTCTGTAAAAAAAAAAAAAAAAAAATGCACTCATAGACCAAATTGTGCAGCTATTAATTGAACCCTCAACTTTCTTCTTCTTCTCTTCTTTTTCTGCCTTTCTATCCCCCAATGGAGCATAGGCCCTCAACCAACTCACACCAAGTCGTTCTATCCTTCGCCATTGCATGGAGCTCTCTCCTCCATGTGTATTTTGACCTTCCTTTATTCCTATGCCCCTGTGGGTTCCAATGCAGAGACATTCTAGTTATGCTGTTCTTCTGTTTTCTCAGTGTGTGTCCTATCCAACGCCAGCGTCTTTTCCTCACCTCTTGGTTCACTGAAGCCTGTTTAGTTCTCCCTCAACCTTCAGAAAGTGAGAAAATGGCTTGACCACTTCACCATGGTGACCCCCTACCAGGTTATTTTGTCATTTTTAAGTTAGTTGCATATCATTCACAGGAAGTTGTAGTACCAACCCTAGCATTTTTTTTTTGACTGTTTGTGACATTACTAGACACTTTTATGTTCATTAGTTTGCCATTGCTATTTGAACGTTCAGTGCTATTACCGTTGTCAGATTTAATGTAAAGCTGTCTTCCACCAAATCGCACACAGCTAGAATCGAATTGGATACTGGTTAAAAAGTGTGTTGTTAGAGACAGATGTCAACTGTGATTTTCAGTAGTGAACTAAAGCTGCATTTTGTTACTGTCCTTCTTACTGTTTTATGTAGACATTCGATCCTCAAAAGAGTTTTTATTTATCAACATTTATAAAACTCTTCCAGTTTAGAGAATATCATCAGAAGATATCAAACCAGATGAAATATAGAACCAGTCAGCCTCACATTATCACAATCATTATTATAACTGACTCACAGAGCATGTTGAGAAAGGTGGAGAAAGGCATGATCCGTGCAAAATGGCACGCATCGCCTCAGATGTCCCAAGTAGTTAGCGTCCTTTGGAATTTTTCTTCAGGTCATCCTGGTGTGTTGGGAAATGAGCAGGCAGACAGACTGGCTGGTTCTGCACATTTGGTGGTGAATTGATTTATGAAAAGCTATATGTTGTGAGGGCCATTTGGGAGTGAGTGAACAATGTGGAGGTACAAATAGGTCATTAGGGTCTGAGGTGAATGACGCTGCAAGGAGTTATCCGGGGATCTGACTGACGCTTAACACTTAAGGGAAAGATAAGATGGATATACAATCAGACAGTAACTGGTGCCATCGGAATTGGCACTCTTTCCTTGCTGTTGAAAATAGGGATGGAGTGCTTGTGGGAGTGCCCAGAGTGCTATGATATTGATTTTTAATTCAACATTCAACATACGCGGATTGCATTTATCAACATCTATAAAACTCTTCCAGTTTAGAAAATATCATGAAAAGATATCAAACCAAACAAAAGGTAGAATTAGTCAGTCTCACATTATCACAGTCAGAAATGACAAGAGAATGTTGCAGCCAGAAAGCCTTCATCAGCATATGACATGAATGGACAGTGTTACCATTGCTGTTTCTGTTGCAAACAGGAATACACAGAATCACTTAACTGAAATATTAGAAAATGAATTGAGTCTCTGGAAATGTGGGTATACGGAAGAATAGGTCATATTTTATTGAAACAAAAACTAACTAAAGCAGACGTTCTGAGAAGACTACAAATGAGAAGAGAGTTGCTGAAAGAAATGAAGATTAGACAACTGGGATACTTTGACCACATTAAAAGACATAACACGCTTTTGAAGACCATAGTAGAGGGAAAGGTCAAAGGCAGGAGAGCAAGGGGTGGGCAACGATACAAGTGGGAGGATAATATCAAGAGATGGACTAGCAGCAGTCTGAGAGTGTACAACCAGGGCAAGAGTCAGAGCATGTTGGAGATCCATTGCAGCCAACCTTAACTATGGAGATGGCACCTGATTAATTGAACGGAAGTCTTTCCTAGCCTAGAGAAATCTACATGTCAGTCTGGCCAGCTGAAGCTCTTATTTAGTGGAAATGCATTCTTAATACTAACAAAACGCAGTTACGAACAAGATAAAAACATCGGTAATTTAACACAAACGTATGTAAGTGTATTTGATCTATTGCTTAGTCCCATGTGGATGAAGTGTAGCTCTGTGACTTAGAGGTGAGTGAATGCGTTTAATTTCATGATCCTTGATTACTAGTGTTTGATTTCTGCAGTGGACTGTTCACTTGTTTTTCGGTTTTTTCAAAAGTAATCATGGTTTTCAGACTGGTGTATAAGAGTCACAGTGTATAAGAGATTCTGGCCTCATCGCATAATACTCTCAAAGACAGCATTGGGTGAACTGTTGTTGGTAGTCTTTGTAGAAATGATGCAGAATTGCGAGGATGATAGTTTGTTGTCCACATTTAATTTTAAACAATGGGATCAGTTTGCTTCAGACTTCAGTTAAATCTGTCATGGGGACTGCATTGAGAGTTTGTATTTGTTAAGTAGACCCATTATTGTCTGTGAAAGAAAATTCATGAGGAAGGGAACTGGTCACTTCATCTTAAGTGAGTTGAGTTGAGATAAAAACCAACATCATAGCACCAGGATATAATCCTATGTGTGATATGTCCCAATCTTCAGCAGTCAGCACAGAATTCAAATTTCAGTGGTACTAGTAGCAGTCTGACCGTATGTCCATCTCGCCTTTTCTCTGAGTTTTGATTGTTGGCCAGATCTCCTGACCAAGTTGATCTGTTTGTGCTTCCACACAGTTCACTCGCTCACAGAAGGTCTTGACCACATCTCACTTTTCATGCATAAGTTAACCACCAAAGGGTGCAGAACCAGCAAATCTATCTGCCTGTTTTTTACCCAGTGCATGCCCTGAAGGAAATATCTCAAGGACGCCAACTACCCAGGCCCTCAAAAGCAGTGGTTGTTACTCTGCACAGAGCATGCCTGTCTTATCACTTGACCAAAGAATGTCCTCTTTCTTATAGTTGCATATAATGTTCTGCATTCATTAACTATTCCCAGAAAATAATTTCTTTTAGTTGCATATAATGTTCTGCATTCATTAACTATTCCCAGAAAATCATTTCTTTTAGTTGCATATAATGTTCTGCATTCATTAACTATTCCCAGAAAATCGTTTCTTTTAGTTGCATATAAAGTTCTGCATTCATTAACTATTCCCAGAAAATCATTTCTTTTAGTTGCATATAATGTTCTGCATTCATTAACTATTCCTGGAAAATCATTTCTTTTATGATAAATTCTGCATTTGCTTTGCTACATCATTACCTAGTTACATCCTAATATGGCTGTCGATAGATGTGAAGTTTTAGCATTGGTCCTGCGCCTCCCACTGGTTTATGAGCTTGGAGAGGGGACAGCTGCCTCTGCAATGTAGCCCCTATGGAGATGTTACTTTGGTGCCTGGTCGGGAGAAAGATCTCTGCACTAACCTCACATTAACAGATACAAGCCCTGTTTTGGCCTTGGATAACCTGAATATTCTTGCATCAGATCCAAGTCTTATAACTCAAGTCTTCTAGAGGATTCACAACCTACCAACCAGCAACTCTATCAGTTGTACATATGCTGTCATGATAGATTATTCTTTTTTCCCCCACATATTTTTTTATAGAACTACAAAAAAGGGACAAATGAAATATTTTAGCCACACAAGACTGTTATATACCACAGTGGGAGGAAAAGTTAAAGCAAAGTGAGCAAGAGGTAGACAATGATGCAAGTCAAAAGTTATGGATAAGAGCAGTCTCAAAAAGTGCACAACCAGGACAGACTGACTGACTGACTTTCTACCCCACCAGGACATCACACAAGCGATAAACACCCTATGACACAATGTGCCACCATGTGGATGAGGATCACCGTGGAGAGGTCCCAGAAACCGCATTCAGCCATTAGGCCATATTTATGGCCGGGCTATATTGTGGCCCCTGGCAAGAGCCAGAGTAGGGCTTCAAATAACGAAAAATTACATCCTAAAAAGGACGAGAAGTGATAGTGACCAGGACACGAGACAGCCTTTTAAGATCCATTGCACCCAGCCTTCATTGTGGAGCTGGCACCTGATTGGTTGGTTGAATAGGACTATAATTTGCCAGTCAACACTTGTTATACTATATGTGAGTATTGAGCTGTTAATTTCTAATTTGGTTATTCAGACAGAGATAGAAGTTGACAAAGATGTGAAATTCTGATTCGATGTTGTCTTTCTCTGTTCACAGCAACAGTTGCAAGATGTAAAACAGCCGCCTGATGTTGTTAATGTAAGTACAGATATTGAAAGAAGTCGGTAAAGTACATACGTACTCATTGAATATTTTCCTTCTAGACTTTTTTTTAGTTATTTATTTTATTTAAGTTGTTATATGTTCCTGTTTTTTTTTTTTTAATTTAATTGTATCATTTTTCATGTTGTTTTATGCTGAAAAAGGCTTTGTGGCTAGTTTACTCTTTTTGTTTTTTCTTGATTTTGTTGTTGATGGCTGACTAGTTCTGCTTCTCATTTAAGGTAATATTTTGTTCTCCACAGTGTTTAGTTTTAAAGGTGGAAATTTACCATCAGTGATGATTGAGGATCTCTTGTTCTGAGCTTTCTTTATGTTTTTTACTTTGTAGACAAAGTTGAACATGCTTTGCAAGAAATCGTCTCAGCAAAAGGAACTGGTTACTGGCATCACAAATGGAAAATCATACACATTTACTGAATATTATGAAAAAATGGAAATTGGGGGGGGGGGGGGGGGGGGGGGGGCAGGAGGAGACCAAGAGAAGATGTCATTTTATCACAATCATCATAACTGCACATTAGCACTTCCATAAGTGCTGAGTCCTTCAATGCAGCAGCCACAGAAATGACAGCCGCTGACTGTTTCCATGAGAAACTGGTTACAGTATTTCCTATCTTGACCTCAAAGATGGCACGACATGCTTTACCTTCCAGATCATGTAACTGTGTTAGAGAGTAGATGTTAGTGTTTGGGAAGGACCATTTCCTACTTATCTTTGCATTACCTTCTCAGACATATTCGTAAGTTTCTTAAAATTACCTGGTACTTAGTTTTAGTTGGCCTGTGTGGCTTAGGCGTTGTGAACGTGCTTTGTAATGCCAGGTTTGATGCCAGCTGCGGACAGTTTCTCTTGCCATGGTTTCGACAGTGGTGCCGAGAGCTGACCTTTCAGTCGGCAGTGGCAAACTACTGAACATAAAATTTGCCTACAAAAAGCACAACAGTTAAAAAATGCTGGGTTTGGTTCTGCTACGTCCTGTAGAGTTTACACCACTAACTTTTTAACTTAGTTTTATTAAGCTGGGTTGACTTCAGTTCCACACAGGTCAGATACAAATAATTCTGCTTCTGCTTGGTTTCAACCTTAAACAATGTCTTGGCAGTTAAGCATACGAACCACAGTGCCAGTGCAGGTCATAGTGAACAATAATATAATTAAAAACGAGACATTTTTGTATTATGAGATAAGTTTGATGTTTTACTGGGCAATTTTGCAATCAGTAGTTTGCCATTGCTTTCTGAATGATCGTCTCTCAAGACCACTGTCAAAACCAATGCCAGACGATCTGCTGCCAAATTGCCTGCAGCTTGGCTCGGAACTGACACCTTGGCATTACAAAGTATTTTTGCGTGCCTAAACCATAGACACAGACTAATCAAAAGGTTACTAATTAGGGTTTGGATGTGTTTACTATTAAAAAGCCGTCCCCATGTGGGATGCAATTTTTTTGTTATTTTGAAGCTCTACCTCAGCTAATGCCGGGGGCCCTTAATATCGCATAAATATGGCCTAATGGCTGAACGGGGTTTCCGGGACCTTTCCGCAGGTGACCCTCATCCGTGTGGTTGGACTTTGTGTCACCGGGTGTTTATCGCTTGTGTGATGACCTGGTGGGGTACAACTTACTTACTTACTATTCGGATGTGTTGGGCTGAAAGGTTCAGATATCATAGTCTAGCTGTAAACCACAACATAACGTGCCAAGTGCCACTTAAAGGGTGAATGCAGAAGATAAAGAAATTGAATGATCACTGAGAAGGATGAAGAAGTCGAAATAATGAATATTCTTGTATATAAGAGAATGGCCAAAGTCATCCTAGAGATAGGATTGTCTTTCTTCGAAGTTCGGAGTACATTTGCCCAAGAGGCAGGAAACAAGAACTGCACACAAATAAGCCAGTAAAGCTTGTGTATTCATAAAACTCACGTCCTGGTTCAAAGCCTAAAGCCCGAATGGACAAATAACCGGACTTTCTGCCGGAATTCACAGCCCATGAATGCAAAGAAAGATATAGAAGAGTGAGGCTCACAGAGAAAAAGAGATGGAGAGAGAGAGAGACTCAACAGAGTAGAAGTTAATTTGTATCCACTTTTCTTTCTGTTTTTCAGGCATTTATTGAAGAACTGTTACAAAGGGCCAAGACATTATAACTTCTGTGGTACCTTTATGAACTGCTTGCAAGCTGCTTCTCTTCGCCAGTGCCAGCAACACACATGTCCAGAAACATGTTGGGAATGTTGCAGAGTTTAGTCAGAATTGTATGAGTATTGCATGTTGTAGGAACCCAAAGGAAAGCTTAGGGTGACTTGATAGTTGATGAAGCTATTGCAGTCGGTAATATTATTTGAATATAATAGTTTATAAGACAGTTCGACTTGTGAATTTGATTAAAAAGAGAAAGATGTTAAGTGGAAGCGTTGTGTCACTACAGAAATCAGTGCAGAGAAATGAACATTGTGTGTGGATTGTGTCACTTAGCTGTATGGATATGGTTGGGGAGAAAATATAATCAATCGTTTAATCATGCCAGGATTCAAACTAAAGGAAGAATAAAGTGGTAATATTGTTGTGTAACTGCAATGACAGTCTGACAGTGTTTCTATTCAGTGTAGAAAAGAAGGCTTGATACTGCCTGCTTTAATATCTTGACTGCTGAAATATTCACATTCATAAAAATAAACATAACATCTCAACTAGCCAGATTTTAAAGCATGTGCTGCCACACTGGAAAAAAATCTGTTTAGTCTTGAGTATACAAGAAACATGCATTAATAGCCTGTGATTTATTTTCAGGATTTTTATATCTGTTACATAATATAATTAGGCTGTCTCAGAAAAGAATTGTGGAATTTTGGTAACAAGGGGGCATGTTTGTATGTGTTTTTTTGTTATGCTCTTTTGGTCTTTGATAATTAGTGCTTGAATGTTGTCAGTTGCAATTGCAATCACACTGTTCATATCTTTAATTCATAATAAAAAAACAGTATTGTTACAGTTGTCATTTATGTAGCAGTTTTGGTGTTTAGTAGAATCTGTTAAACGGAGATAAAGAGCTCAAAAGATCAGCTGGTGATAGTTTTAAAACAGTTGAAGGCGAGTAAACATGTGGTAGACAGCAGTACTAGTGGAAGGATAACATGAAGAGGTATATGAATGGCATTTTGAGAGTTTACAACCAGGACAAGTAAGGAAATGTTCAGATTGATGCAACTAAATTTCATAGTGGAAAAGGCCCTTGTTTGATTGTTTTAATCTTCCTTAAAAAATGTTTAGACCTTTGGTTAATGGCTAAATTTGTTTTGCATTGTCTCACTTCAGAAATCTTTGCTGTAATATTCAGTACTTGGCAGATTCTGGTCTAGTTTTGTTTTTTCTTTTAATGTCTTGTTGCCTCTTTTATGAGGTGCACATATTTTGTTAATCGTCTGTCATCATCATTGTCCTATTGTGTCATTTTATGTCACATAGGGCTCGGTCTATTCCTCAGTTCCACTCTATCATGTGCAGTCTCTTTGATATCATTAATGGAATCCAGTCCATCACTTTGGCCTCTCTTGTTAACATTCATTTCATTGTTTCTTTTGGACGCCCTCGCTTCATCAGTCCCTTTATTTCCGTTTTTAGGAAATCATCGATTTCCTACAAATATATTCTAGTGACATTATATTGATCTTTGAATTCATCCTAAACCAAGCTACCCAGTTCATTTGTTATTTCTTTCTTGATATACTTCTCTTGAATCTTTCGCTTCCAAATAGGTTTCTATGTTACATTTAAAATATATTGATTTGGAGGAATTTAATCTATCTGGAACAGAAGAAAATTGACAAATAAAATGACTGGTACACAGGCAGTTAAATGTTTAATGAAGAGTGAATTAAAGAGAAACTATCTTTTTAGAAAAACTGTATCCAACAGACCGAGTTAATTAAGGTCTGCTTTTTTTTTTTGCAGTCTATGTATCAGTGTGCTTTATAGGTTCCAGGGCCTCATTGTGGGGAAAACATGCATGTCTTATAAGAGTCGACTAGCTAGGAGCTCCTTCGAAGTCAGAGTGCAAGGAACAACCAACTGCACACATATAAGTAGAACAGACGTACACGCAAAACTCAGGCCCTGGCACAGAGCTAAAGTCCACTTGGACAAACAACCACGATTTTCTGCCGGAGCTTACAGCCGTGAACAAAGAAGAAGAAGAAGTATCAGTAATAATAGGTAATATTTCAGAAGTGATACTATGGTCTAGAACATCTGAAGGCCCAGCACTCTATCTTGAGAACACCCTGAATGAATTAACTTCTTCTTTTTCTTCTTTTTTTTTGTCGTCTCACTAATACCAGGTAGTAGCTCACTGTCGTGGTTTTCTGTATTTGTAATGTATTAACTACTGTATGTGAAAACACCCTGGCAGAATTATGTTCACGTTTTTCAATTATAGATGTGTCAATAATTAAGCTGTAGTTTTGTCATTTTTAAACCGATTTATGTGATTGATGTATGAATTGAGGGGAAATTAATGTGTTGTTTAATTAACCTAATATTTTAAAAGATGTTAGTTGTTTTGTAAACCTTACAATCATTAAACGCTGACAAGGTGAGACCAATATAATTATTAAATGGCCAATTTACGGCAAAATTCTGATGCTGTTAATGCCTTTCTTCCATAATTTATGTGTAGTATGTAGGAATTGAAATCATTCAAGAATTTCACATTCACCAGTGTTACTTATTTATCTATTTACACCGTTTTGAAAGTTAATATTTTCAAAGATACAAAAAGAAATTGCTTAAACAAAAAACTTTAACATAATATATCAGAAAACAGTTAAATTTGCTGCCCCACGTGTTTACATATCTGCTCCACATGCTTGTAAGCTCTGTGCTCTGTGTTACATTTTTAATGAATTCTTTGTATGTTTTGATTTATCTAACCATTTTTGCAGCAGTTTCCTAGTATATTCACTGGTCGTACAATGTATTTGGGTAGTTAAACTGATTTTTTTTTTTTTAAACACAGTCTGTAACATATAATTGAAATTAAGTGAACAGATGTTGTGTCATTCATCACAAGTGACGATGACCATTCTTTTCATCTCTTACGTGGGGTGGGATTTATGAGTATATGAGTTGCATGAAAGTAAACAGATAATGCAGTCTTAAATAACTTAATCAATTCAAGCATAGAAAATAGGAATTTTTAATGGGGCTTTGAAAAGCTGGTTCAGATTTTAACTAGCTGTGTTATAGTTTTTACTTTTTAAAAAAATAATAAATATGGGGGGAAAAGGGGGGTGGGGTAATTTCTGTGCGTTTCAGCTAGTGGTTAATGTATTCATGCTGGAAAGGGGTCATCCAGGCATTGTCAAAGTATGTATATGGAGTTACAGATATTGGCAGGGAGCCGCCATGGTGTGGCGGCTAGACACTGCACCTGTTGGTCTGAAGGTCATGGGTTCATATTCTAGTGAAGCCGGACATAAAAAAAAAAAATCGCCTTAGCTCCCAAATCAACCCAAATTTAAATGGGTAGCAGGTTAGTTCCTGGGAAGTAAAGATTGCCAGTGTAATGTTAAACCACATTACCCATCAAGTGCTGATTGGTCCATTAAATATAGGTTCTAGCACTATATGCCCTATATACCTGAAGGTGTGAAATGTATACTTTACAGATAATGACAGAGAGAAATAGTTGTAGTTCTGTGTTCCATGAAGAATGAGATATAAGTAACAGAATGATTGTCAGGCAGAACAGGATGAACTACCTCTTCTATGAAGTATTAATGATGTGAAAACTGAAGAAAAAATTTTTTCTTCAATATTGTGTGTGTTAATGTTATGTTGCTCTTGTTGTGTAGCTGCTGATATTGCGGATGCAAATATGCTGGTTCATCTTTGTAAGTTTTTTTTTTTTAGATGTAAAATATCTTTGAAATAAATCTGACCTCTAGTGCCATTATTGTTTCGATTGTGTAGATATTTTTTTGGGAGTAAGTTTGATTTTCTTATGTTAATATTGCTACTAATCAGAGACAAGCTGTGACCTTATGTTATACTTCCTTTAATTTTCTTGTTAAAGAAATTAATGGTTAGTACATGTGGAATTGTGATATTAGAGTTTAATATGTGTTGATAGTATTATCATCATAATCAAGTGCCTTGCCAGCTGGCATAGACATTCATGCATCTCCACAGATCTTACTTTTGGTGTTCTGAATCAGTTCCACTGATGATATTTCTCCATGCCATTGTCTTAAGCCATCCACCATCATTTCTCTTGGTCTGCCTCTGCCTCTTCTATCAGTGATCTTTCCAGTCGTCACAATATTTTCCAGTGTTCCTTTTCTCATCACTTGACCAAAGAACTTTGTCTCCTTTTCATTGTTGTATGTAATGTTCTACTTTCAGTCACCATTTCTGGCCATTGTTAGTGATTCTGGCAGTCCAATGTTGTTAATAGTATACTGCTTATTAACTAAATGATCTGGTACTCCTGACTCATTTTTGGCACCTTTCTGTCTTTCCAGATGATAGTTATGCTGTGCTGTAGGGAGGCTTTGCCACATAATACCTCCCTTGGCCTCAGAGAGAAAGTAGGTTATAAAAACGTTAGTCTCCCCATTTACACAGTGTTACACTATATCTCACTTCTGATTGGTCGACCTTCAGCCTAGTTCACTTCTGATTGGTCAACCTTTAGCCATGCTACCTTGCCACAAGGTTACAGGGGTTCCCCCAATCCTTTGATATCGCATGTTGTATATTTCAGCTCGCCAGCACTTTTAACAAAAACATTGTCGAACTGGGTCTGACACAAAACCCCTTTAGAGAATGATGAAACCTTTGTCACAGGCATTCTCTTTCTTGGAATAAAAACGTCAATGCAAGACAACCCAGAAAGCAAACAACAGAACGGCACAACTGTAACCTGCAGGAAGATAGACCAGCCCAAAAAAACTTATGAATGGAACGTGGCCTGCTTTGTTTGGGGAGACTAACGTTTTTACAACCGGAAAGTAATACCAAAACGCCTAACTCATAACTTACTATGAACTCAAATCTACTCTCCTGGGTATGCCAGTGCAAAAGATACAGATATTGGGAGGGAGCCACCATGGTATGGCAGCTAGAAGCTAGGCCTGTTAAGACCTAG